TTTGATGCGGGTTCTTGGTTTTTCTCTCGAGAATTCTGGGTTTGTGTTGGTGAATAAGTGAGGAGAAATGACGCGCCTTTGTTTATATCTCCAGGTACGGGATACGAGGAGTCTGCGTTTTAATTTCTCTTAAGTACTCCACTAAGTAACCGTTAAACACATGATCTTGTGATTAAACTGCCCATTATCCGTCCAACTTCCACAATCATTAACCGTTGTTATCTCATTAATTACGGTTTAAATTCAAATTTTTGGATTAATTAAATCATTTACTTCCCTCCTTTTCTGAATTAAATCAAACCCGACCCGTCATCCTTCCAAATCGGGTCTGGGGGGCAAGTTGTTTGGGTCCAATTTAGTCCAAATTGGGCCTAAGCACTAAATGATCCAATTAAAAGCGTGCAATGCCACTGGTGACATCCTGTCCGCAGTCTTAAGAGGGGTCAGCATAGCCGATGTTGACCTAGTCGTATGTGCTAACCCGCTGAAGGTCGCGCAGCGCAGGCAAATAGCGCAGCAAAGCACGGCTTCCCTTGTCAGGAGAAATGGTCCCTGACAGGAGGAGAACAAAAATGCGAACCCGCTGCTCCGAGGTAGTAGCATCATCAATAAAAGCGTCCGCCAGCAGTGCTTTACAGATCGTCCTCATGCTTGAGACCTTATTTCTGGCCCCATCAGCTCTGCAGTCTCTAGAGAAGCCAGAGTATACAACTCGTCCGCAGGAACTCGAGCTGGGCAAAACTCGAGTCCACTGATGACAGAGAAGTCGAGTGGAAAGTGTTTGTGGTGTCCCAAAAGAACTCTAAGGCACCCCGAACGATGTAACGGCTCTCCCGAAAGGACTTGAAAGCCGCAGCAAGTCAAAGAAGGGGAGTCAACCCATAGGACTCCCAAAGCGCTCTCACCGCCTCATTGCCAACAATGTGCTGGCGGTACACGGACAGAATGGTGTCGTTGCCCGAACCATGGCAACGCACGTGCTCCTCAATAAAACCCTGCATAACCCGCTGGGATATGTGGTGAACCGGCCGAAAAGCCAGGATGTGCTCATCCCACTGAGAGAGAGACCACGTCCGGCTAGTAAAAGCACCGTCTCCATCTCCTTCAGGCTCGTCCTCTCGGTGAGACGAGCGGGAATGTGAACTAGAACTTCGATGTCGGGCCATACTATTTATCGTTGCCATAAAAATAGTAAATTAAAGGTTCTATAGTATCTAAGTTAGCCTAGCCGCATGATATTATGTTCGTCAAAAACAGAGTATCAAAAATGCAAAAACAAAGCATGATTTTAATTCGCACAATAAAGAAAATTTTAGGCACCAAAACAATTTCTTGTAATTTTATGACAAATATTGCAACAAATTAAGCACAAAAAACAAGCAAAATCATGAAGAATAAGCCACATTGTACTCATGAATCTAGAATGTTCAACAATGGTAAAATGTTCGTTTCTTCACCAAATCAAGCAATTCTAGTCTCAAAATGTTCACAAAGCAACATAAAAACACATACAATCAATTTCATGACAAGAAATTCAACTTAAATTGAGCAAACAACGAAATATAATTTTGGATTTTCCGAGAAAACGCGAAGAACATGCTCCAAATTCACCCAAATTGAGGAGAGATTAAGCAAAACTTACATAGATCGGTGTAGGTGAGCAAAAATGCAACGATTTGAAACAAATTTTGGTTGATTTGGTTGAGAAATGGCTAAGAACGAGCAAGACGAAGTTTTGTGAACAACGAGCAAAGAAGAGCAGCAGCAGCAAAATGAGGAAGAAAGGAGTTTAAATTCGCGAAACGCGAATTTATCGAGGCGCGATAAACCTGTCACTGCGCGATGGCCATGATTTCGCCCGCGTCAGCTTTTATGGGTCGCGCAACTTGATTGGTTGGTCCATTTTTATCCATTTGAGCTTCTTGATGCGCAATTAAGCTTTTTAGCCTCGTAATGAGCGATTAACAAATGATTTGATTTGATTAGTAGTCAGCCCAATTACAATTTTTATGGATGGTCAACCTAATGACGATCACCTTATTGAGTGTTGATTGAGCACATTTGAGTAGTGATGGATCATAATTACAAATTTCCTAAGATAGGAGATTTCTACGGAAATTGATTTGAGCTCAGTAGAATCTTGAAGAGTAAGGTTTTACGGTAGGCTTTCCAAGGCGCGAGAAACTATCACTTCCAAGGCGTGAGGATGAGAAAATTTGAAGACGACTCAAGGCCTAGTGGTCTTTGACAACATTCTCTAAAATGTGGAGGTTGTCACCTTGATTTGAGAATTCGGCTCAAGGGGTAGTTGATCTTCGACAGAGCTCCCCGAGAATGTGGAGGTTGTCAAACAAAACAACTTTGATTCAACAAAATTGATTGTGTCCCAAGGCATGGACGATTCACGTTGCAAGTTTCTCAAGGCGTAGAGACCTGTAGTTTTTTATTATCAAAAAAGTTTTTCCCAAGGCGTTGAAAATTGTTGATCGTTACACGCTTCTCAAAGCGTAGAAGTCGATGATTGTGTCCCAAAGCGTGGATATTTATTGTTATTCCCTGAGTATGGAATTTCACCTAAGAGCTACTCGAGGCGTAAGAGCTCACGATAGGATTCCCAAGGCGTGGAAACCATCTCATATTAGTCTTCCCAAGGCGTGGAAAATCATCATTCAGTAGGCTGCTCAAGGCGTAGGAGTCTATGACATGTTGCCCGAGGCGCGGAAACTTGTCACCTTTCACTTGAGATTTTCTCGAGGCATAGGAGCTCACGATAGGGTTCCCGAGGCGTGGAATCTACCTCATATCAGAATTACCAAGGCGTGGAAGATCATTATCCAGTAGATCGCTCGAGGCGTAGTGGTTCACGATAGAATTCTCAAGGCGCGGAAAATTATCATCCGGTGGATTTCTCGAGGCGTAGAAAGCTACCAGAAGTGTTTGCCATCGATACACTGGTGTCAGATACGCATTTCTTCTTCCTTAACTCCTTTATTTGTAGAACTAACGCTTTTTTGCAGGTATCGGAGTTAAAAAAAGTGATTTAGAATCGCCGAACATTCTGAATCCTTCTTCGTCCCTATGGATCTACTTTGACTTTTGTTTTCGAAACTTACGGTTCTCCAAACTCAGTCAAAGTCGGGGCTTCTGTAGACACTTGATTGTGTCTCCCCAAAAACCAAACCCAGTGATGAGTACCTTTCACGTCTTTAATTATCGAGTAAGGTGAAGAGTTGAAGAGTCTCGTGAAGTTCCCTTTAGCCTTGACCATTTCTAACCTTTTTTTAGATGTTTTAAGCAAAAATCATTCATTTTGTGTCTTTGTAAATCATTGATAAGTGACTTTTATGTCACTTATAGAGGTGTTTATTGAGTCGTTTTCCGACTTATTTTCCAATAATTTAGTTTGTTTTAACCTTTATTTCACTTATTTTCTTAGTCTCGTCTTTTATCTTTTGATTTGAGTAATTTTGTAGTTTTTAATAGTTTATAGTTTAATTACGTAATTTATTTATGTTTCTTATTTTCTAATGTTTTAAGTCTTGGTTTAATGGTTTTAGTTAATAATAATAGTCTCACTATTCTCTTTCTATTTATTTTCTTTTAATTTCAAGTTTGTTTTCTTAATTTAATTTTATTTCATTTGATTTTATTATTTCTTTTTGTTTTATTTTATTTTCATTTTATTTTATTTTTATTTTGTTCCAATTCCTCGTGTTTTGTTGTTTTTGTAGGAGTGCTCGGGTCAAAGCTCACGTTTCAAATTTGGAGTCAAATCCGAGTTTCGGAGTCAAGTCAAACTCACAAATTCTCCCTCTAAACTCCCCTGCTCCATCACCATCCCCTGCTCCCTCAACTTTCCCCACCTATGCCCACTTATTTCTCAGCCACAACCACCATCAACCCGCAACCACCTCCTCCACACCCAGCATCTCCAACCCGCAACAATTGTAGCAGCAGCCCGCTTCTCTGCCACCATCACCCAGCCACCAATCCGCGCATCACCGCAACACCACCACCAACAACAATGCAACCTGCGCCCCTGCCGCCAAATTCGCACCACCCACCGTTACCAACAGCAGGACCAGCCACCGCACCACCCTTACTAACCCTCAACCTTCACCATCATTCACCGCCCAAACCCGAATCAACAACGACGCAGCCAGCAATTTCCCTACCACAAACCGCCGGCAAAAACCTCTGAAATAGAGCAGCTCGTAAATCACCCCAAATCGATGAACTTTAGAGCAGGTGCTTTTAGTACGACGCGGACGCTCCTGAATCATCCAATTTCTTCAATTTCGGGCAGAAGCAAGGAGCGTCCGCTCCAATGGGTACGACCGGCCGCTCCGTTTTATCGGGTCCAATTGTAAGGGATTAATTGAAATTGGATAGCTGTGACTAACTCACTTAATTCAAGGGTGAGATCGATGATGATGGTGTTAAAATAGGTGATTATGGCTGTTGATGATGAGGATAGGTGGTGAAGAAGAAATCAGAGTAGCCAAGTGAATGAAGAAGAGGGGGGAATTCGTGGGTCTGAGTTTTATTTGGGTGTTGTTAAAGGTCGATCGCAATTTACTAGGTGACGTTTGCATTTTATACTTGAATTTTCTAAATTGTCCTCCGTATATAAATACTCGATAAACTAAGTTATGACACTTACGAGACATTTTCCGTCTTACAAATCACTCTTTCACACTCTCTCCCTCTAAAACCTTCCAAAAAATCTGAAATTTTGAAAAAAAAAAACAAAAATTTTGAAGGCTACTCAAACACAAGCAAATCTAGCAATCAAACGTTGAATCCGACAATGGCAGACCGACGAAGAATTGGGCTGACGTTTGTGGTCGTGGTGGCGGCGTTATGGTGGCGAACCGGTGAGTTTTTTTGTTTTTTTTTTTAAGTTTTTGAATTTTGAAAAAAAAAAAAAAAAAAAAACTGGAAACCGTGACATCCGCCCAGAAATTCCGGAAGTGGAGAAGAACTTCCGGAAAATTTAGGCGAAAGTGGTGGTTTCCGCCTGAAATTTCCGGAAGTTCTCAGCCACTTCCGAAATTTCTGGGCGGAAGTGGTGGTTTCCAGAATTTTTATTTTTTTATTATTTTTTTATTTTTTCCCTCGGTTTCGTTGATTTCTTGCATTATTTTTTTAAAAAAAAAATATTTTAAAAATATTTCTTTCCTTGATTTGTGGCATTAAAATAATTTTTTTCTTGATTTAGTCTTGCAATAATTATTGTTATGTATTTTTTCTTGATTTAGTTTTGCAATAATTATTGTTTTGCAATATTTCTTTCCATGTGTTTTAGTTTTGCAAGTATCCTTGATTTACATTTTAATAAGCTTGTTACTGTTATGTATTGTTATTGTTATGTAATTTTTATTTGGTTTGTATTGGTATTTGTTATGTATTATGGTTGGTGACTTAAATTGTTGTTATTGTTATTGTTACATTTTAATTGTGGCATTGTTTTTGTTGTATTTTATGATTTTTCTTTGTAATTCATGATTTTGCATCTTCATATTTGCAATAATAAGTCTGTTATTGTTATGTATTGTGTTTATTGTTATGTAAAATTTATTTGGTTTGTATTGGTATTTGTTATTGTTGTTATGTATTATGGTTGGTGACTGAAATTGTTGTTATTATTATTGTTATTGTTTTTTTATTGGTTTGTGGTATTGTCGTTGTTGCATTTTAATTTTGGCAATTCTGTGGTTAATTATAGTTTTGATTTGGTCTATTATTGTGTTGAAATTATTTGTAGTGTGTTATTGGTGTGTTGTTATTGTTAGTAGTATATTAGTATTGTAAGAATAATATTATTGTTATTGTTAGTAATGTTGTTATTATTGTTTATTTGATTTGATTTATTATAGTTTTGATTTGATATTTTTGAATTTGAGTTATTATTGAAATATGATTCTGTACTTATTTATTTAATGCAAATTGAGGGTTCTGGTCCTCGTCATGCAAGATCAAGACGTTTGAATGCGTCTGTTAGGAGGGAGTTAGGTGGTGCAGGAACTTCACAGGCACCGTTTCACCATGAGCATCAGTATGAGACTGCTGGTACTTGGTCGGGGGAGCATCAGTCACAGGGGAGCGCCTCCATGTATTCGTCTACTGGAGTGCCTTCATCTGACGATGAGGATGAAGAGCGAGGAAGTCAAGCTGCTGGAGATGCACAGTATGACCCTCAGGAATACCGTACAGTGTATAGGGGTGACCATGGGAGATATGTTAGTAGTAGTGAAACAGCTCAAGCTTCTACCAGCTCGTCAGAGTCATGGGTGGTGCAGGAGCCGATGACAGGTGGGCCTGAGGATGGTACTGTTATTCCTAGTTTTGGGGGTCACGTGGTTGCCTACATATGGGGTGGGCAGGAGCGAAATGTTCTACGGTGTTTGAGCAGGACACAGTTGTGTACTGAATTGGGTAACTGGCGCGCTCGTCTTCCGCAGGAGCACCTAGAACCGATTGATGGCAGTGGTCTATCTCACTTACCCGAGATCATGTTCAGGCGATTTGACTGGCCATTGATTTCTGCTTTTGTTGAGAGATGGCAGCCAGACACGAACACGTTTCACATGCCATTTGGGGAGATCACAATCATGCTGCATGATGTGTATCATATTCTAGGGATTCGTGTTGATGGTTCCATGGTTTCCACTACTCCTAGCACGGACGTTGTACGGGACGCGTGCTCGATTACCTTGGATATGACTGAGGAAGAGCTGAATGAGAAGTGCGGTACTAAAACCGTATGGCAGGGTAGTGGGGTGCTGACTGAGAGGATAATAGAGTCGACCTTGGAGGCGCAGAGGCCCTTCAATTTCCATTACAGGGCGTACCTGTGGTTAGTACTTGGCGGTTGTTTGTTTTTGGACAAGAGTGGAAATCGTACTCATCCATCCTTCCTCAACAAGCTTTTTGTTGAGGATGTTCAGATTAGTGAGTACTCCTGGGGTTCTGCTGTGCTAGCATACATGTACCAGCAGTTGGGTACAGCATCACGAAAAGATGCTGATTCTATCGCCGGCTGTCTTACGCTTCTGCAGGCATGGATCTACGAGTACTTTCCGTGTTTTCGGCCTTAGCAGGGGACCTTGACCAGAGAGCTTACTGTTCCTCGTGCGTTCGCCTGGGATGTCGGATCGGGATGCCCCAACAAGAGCATGGAGCGCCTTCTCGCTTTTCGTGCTAGGTTGGAACATTTGACTGACAATGAAGTTAACTGGCTACCGTACGGATTTGATCCAGCACGACGCGTGCCTGCTACTCTTTTCATTGGCTGCATCCAGTATCGTAGCATCATTGAGCCATATATGCCTGATCGAGTGGTTCGACAACTTGGATACGTCCAGGACATTCCACAAGCCATCATCAGGCCTGAGAAGGCAAAGAGACCGACGAACTTGAAGATGTATCGAGTTGACTTTCCGACAGAGATGACATCTGTGATGTGGACTCGGTTTGTCCCTGGTGTGTCTTTCAGTGTCGTGATAGGTGCCCTCAGCAGACTTGGAGGTGGTGCTCCTACGGTCGGTCCTGGTTACATGCAGTGGCTGTACCGATTTTCTCATCCACGTGTTTCTCCAGTTGCGTCATCACATGAGAGTCGCACACTGCCTGAGAGAACTAACACGGATTACGTAAGTAGTTGTGTTTTTTGGTACTATAATTATGATTAGAAAAACTTGTGATTTATTTAATATGTTGTTTTTTTTAATTGAAGTGGATGGGTCGGTCCATGGAGGTCATCAACAGGACACTGGAGGAGTATCCGAGCCTATCGCGTGATACAAGAGCAATGGCTAAGGCGCTACGAGCTGATTGGAGGGCGATGATGGGGTTGTGAACTTGCTGTTTTTTATTTTTATTTGACTTGTACGCATTTCGTTTATATACTATTTATTCGTCATGTACTTTAAGGATTGAACACTTGTTTTTGTGGTTTTGTTGAAACTTTGTTTAATTAAGTTAAATTCGTTACAAATTACATAACTACAACTGTTTAACATAAATGAAAGTACAAAAATATGTTCATTATCTAATTAAGGCATCCCACATGTTCCTTCTAGCTGCGTAACGCTGATCCCAACCGTCAACACTTGGGTCGTGGTTCTTAGTCCACCAACCTGCAATCGGGGGAAGTGGCGAATCTGGTGCAAGTTCAATACAAATAAAATGTGAGCCCCCAACTGTAGCGATGACAAACTCTCGCTCCGGTGCTGTGACCCCCCTTCTTGCCCGCAACGACAATATCGTGAGGCATGGGTAGTAGCAGGTTGGTGTTTGGCCTACACCCAGAATAATAACCACTGTGTTGAACCAAGTCGCAATAGGAAATAAATCTTGAATTGCAGCCATCCAATGATGGGAATCAACCGCCCCACCGTCCCATCGAATACGCTCCACATTGATCTCAAGTCTTCCAAGCCTATAAATCTTCTCATATAGGGCTCGATAACCGAGGACCTCATTCGCTATTGTTTCTCGAGCATCATACCATCGACCTTGATCACTGAAGAAGAACTCGGCCACACAACGAAACCCACAGTTACCATCGCCAATGACATCCTTCCATCCTGTGATGTAAGGCAACATCGGCCCTGGAAGCGAGTGTCGATAATGGCTTTGGCTAATGTCATTTACATCTCCTGCACAAATGTAGGGTTCAGTTAATTAGTTTAGTAAACGCTGACTTATGTGAAAAACACAACACTTAATCGTACCTATTTGTCGTGCACCACATTCAATGTATTGGCGGTTTACATGTTCAAAATAAGAACGATCACGTCTTGTATCATTGTTTCTTGGTCGACCACGAACGCGGTGGTTTACAACAGGCTCTCTGAGGTCAGAATGATCCGGATGCAGCTCCTCTTCAATGATGCGAGACACATTTCGAAGAACAGCAGGATCACTACCAATTACCTCATCCATGAGAGAACGAAAATGTGCGGCATCCTCGGTTGAGTCATTGCCAGGCACCGTCCCATCATCACCATAACCAATAACCAAGGTCCTCCAGAACGGGTGAATTTGCCTGATGTACAATCCTGTCCCAGCAACTAGCGAATCATGTATCTGGCAAGCACAGGGCAAACCGTGGGTCACACGCATTGCACATCCACATTGTTCGTGCACTTAATAACTCAGCTCCCTCATCCTCCTTGTCTCCTCATCGAGAACCTTCAAACAATGCTGAGACACCTTCCCGTTTATACGTGGCAGTGGCAACACTCGGTACTTTTGACCTATCTTCGACCTAGAAGCCTCCAAACCATTACGAATTGCGATGATCTGATTACCAATGTGGCAATGAACTCGAGCCCATACGGTATCCAAAGAACCTGCACATTACAAAGAAAAACCATTATGATTTGTAACTCAAATACCTACAACAAAGTACATACATGAACTACAATAAGCGAACACCAAACCTGTCGAGGAATCAAACCACATCTTCACGGCCGAATGTTGGCTCTCAACTCTGCAAGTGCTGGTGTTTCCATAATGTAGATTGGTTTGTCCAAAATGTCACAAACTTCGTTTTATGACAAAGCCATGTGTTCTCTACATATTGTATCACTGCTGGATAACTTGCCCACTTATCTTTCATTATATCTACAGCGGCCTCATAATCATCCTCGGTTGCAGCGTCCATGATACGTTTCCATTTTCCGTTTTTGAAAGACGCACCGATCTTCTTGTTTTTTAACATAGCAGTGACCCGAGCCTCCACATCTTTGTTAATGTGCCATCGACAAAGTAAGTGTGAGGTTCTTGGAAACACTTCCCTCAATGCAGCACATAGCTCAAGCTCACAGCCTGTCAAGAAAACCGACGACTCCTTATCATACCCAATCACGTCTCTCAACCTCTGCAAAACCCATCGATAGCTTGCCGTGCTCTCGTTGAGCATGAACACGTAACCGACGAGAAAATTCTGATTTGTCGGTGTCACACTAACTATCTCAAAGAACGGCATCCCGTATCGGTTAGTCTTGTAAGTGGAATCGATACCAATCACATATGGGTACGTCCGTAAGATGTCTACCATGACTGGGTGCGCCATAAAGGCGTGCTGTAAAACGCCTTCATCATCGGACATGACCCATTAAAGATACTGACTCTGTCTCGCCAAATGTAGAAATTGCTGAACAACTCCTCTCCTATCAGACATCTCCGCTCTGAAGTCATTCCGGCAGTTGTAGATGTGCCTGATGTTTGGATGATCATCAGGAAATTGCTCCGCAATAGTCGCCATGATGTTACGCGGTGCAACCTTAGACTTCGTCATGTCACGCACAACCTGATTCGCATTCGGGCTCAACCCACTAATTTTACGATGACCCTCTGGATACGCAATCATTGGATGGTTGTGGGTCCCAGTTGCATCATCTTTCGCCCAGATAACCCAAGTATTGGTGTTGAACTCGTAACATATCTTGATGTAGAAAGGACAACCAATGCCCTTGGTTTTGGTGTCCTTCCGAATTGCGTTCTCAAGATCTCTCGGCTTACTCCTGCGTCCCCGATCACATCTTAAATATCGATATGGTCGACCATCCCTCTGTTTGTTGAAAGACGATTTCACCAAAATAAATCCCAGATTTATTGCAACAGCATCCGCCCATCTAACTGCATCGTCAAACGTTAGAAAAATCGTGTCTGTCACAAAATGTGCACTGTAATTCACAACGTCACCGCCGTCTTCAACCTCCGAATCCTATAAAATCACAACACAAACAAATAAAACACGCAAGGATTAGTATTTTAAATTTAACAATAATAATAATAATAATAATAATAATAATAATAATAATAATAATAATAATAATAATAATAATAATAATAACAATAATAATAGTAATAATAATAATAATAATAATAGTAACAATAATAATAATAATAATAATAATAATAATAACAATAACAATAACAATAATAATACTAATACTAATAATAATAACAACAATAAATACATAAAATTAACAAATAATAACTAATATAATAATAATAATAACAATAACTAACATTCACATAAAGTAATACTAACAAAAAAAAGTAACAATAACAATAATACAATACAAAAAACAATTACAAACAACAAAATTTACGCAACCCAATTTATGCGCACCAAACAATAAAAATAATAAACATCCAACAACAACAAATACTCATACTAACAACAACAATAATATTAATAATAATAACAACAATAGTAATAATAGTAGTTGTTTTGGGGTTTTCTGATGTCCTGCGGGAGAGCTACAATTCCGAGACTGGAACCGGACGCCTGTACCTGCAAAATAACGGAGACTCCTGAGAGCTCCGCCTCCAACGGTCAAGTTAGTACCTGATTAAGGAGTAATCAATACAGAAATTAAAGTAATAAGGTCTCTCTAGGTGAGAGTATTTAATGTAGGTAATCTGCTTTGCTAGCGAGATCAGCCGGTTATTAGTGTGTTCCGTAATGTTTCTCCTCCGTTCCGTTAATTATTCCGTCCCTTGATTAGTGAGGATTAATCGAGTATTTATAGCCTTGGGAAGCGTGCAACTCTCTAGGTTTAAGGTAAACCTAGGGCCGATCGGGCTTCTAGACTGAAATGGGCCTTGATGGCCGGTTGTCCCATTTGGCATGGGTGGACACGTGGCGGAACCTGGTTGGTCCACTTGTCAAACGGCGCCTGGTGGATAAAAATCCCCTAATCATTTGCCCCTCACAGGTGGCACGCGACTGGTCACGTGTCGCCTGTGACAGGTGTCGCACGGTGACAGGCGACGGCCCGTTACAGGTGTCACCTTGCAGACGGCCGGGAGATTCTCCCGCCCAAATTTGAATTCGGAAGCGACCCTTCGCCTTCTCATTTTGCCTATAAAAGGAAGTGCTGACTTCGGTCATTTTCACATTTGAGAATTTTTGCGAGAACATTCGGACCCCTGAACTTGCTCTGACATTTTCGGACTTTTTCTGCCTACCGCCTGTTCTGACAAGCCGACTGACCCGAACTTTCAGGACTTCATCAACTGTCATCCGTTCAGGTAACTCAGTTCTCTTACTCTTAATTTTCTTTTTATTTTTTGAAATGGCACCATGGAAGCACACGACACGCCCTAAGTTAGTGATCAGCCGGTCACCGGGGACGGCTGAATCTAGGACTAGGAGTGCCGCCTGCCCTTTTCTGGACCCATCTTTGCCCTTTATACAAAGTCCGACTGAATCTGTGTCTATGCAGAACGTGATGGCCAGAACAAAAAAGACTGCTAGAATATCAAACTCAGACGGCTCCTCCCAAAGGGTACTCCTTAGCGAAACATCTGACCAGGCGCCAGATGTGGAACGAGGCGACTGTCAAGCTGACAGTTTCTGAGAGAGGGACCAAGGTGTTCCCTTCTCATCTAACCGTGGACATGTCTAATTTACCTTCTGCTCCTTCTAAGGGAGAGGAGGCGGGCCCCTCTAGGAGAGGGGAGGAGTCGTCCTCTTCGGACTCGTCAGGGGACGAGTCCGATTCCAGCTCTTCTGACCATAGTTCTTCTAACCATAGTTCTTCTGACTCAGAAGAAAAACATAACCGCCTACAAGAGGCGAGAAGTTCCCATGCAGTGGAGAAGGGGGATAATTGGGCAGAGCCGTCCGCCTCTTACAGAGAGGAAAACACCCCCTACTACTGCAGGGTGCCCCGGGGCCGGATCGCAACCATGCGAGACAACGTGGCGAGCTTTATTGCTAACCACAAAATGGGCCCGGAGTATTTACTGTTTGTGCCGGATCCAGAAGATACTGTCGTCTGGCCGGCTGGTACCAGCTATGGTGACGGCTGTTTTGGCTGCTATGTGGCGGCCATCAAAGCTGGTCTGCGCTTCCCATTACATGCGGCTGTTCAGCGGATTTTAGATGGGTATGATCTGGGGTTATGGCAGTTAGCCCCCAACTCTTGGGTAAACGTACTCGGCTATGTGGCCGGGTGCGAACTGAACGGGGTGGAGCCAAGTTTTGAGGCTTTCGCCCACATGAACTATCTCAGCCGGACCCCTAAGTCGGGAGGGTACCGGCTGGTATCAACTAACAAGCCACAGGGGTTACCTCATGACGAGAGGTAAGGCAAACAAATGGAAGGATTGGCGGAACACCTTCCTTATTATCGAGAGTTCAGACACGGAGCTGAACAAACGTTTTAACAAGTGGAACAGGGATCCGCCTCTTCTTGCAGGCGGCCGCAGCATGCCGCCTGTTCCCCCAAAGGCTAAAAGAGAGATCCTAGACAAAGGACTCTTCAAAGTAGAGACTAGGGTGAACTCTACTTCAGGGGTACGAGAGCAAGTACCCCTACACTGCGTCCCGAGCTTCAAGTGGCTCTATGATGAGTACTTCTTGGCCGCCTGTGGCCTCGGCAGTCGGTTGCTCTAGAGGTAGCCGGCCTGACGAATACTCTGTTTTTTCACGCCTTGTTTACTTGGGATTTTTACTAACTTTGCTGTTTATTTCTTTCAGCCGACGCCATGAGTAAAATAACAGCATCTAAGACTGCGGCGGCCATGCTGCGGGTTTCGCTAATGAAGCAGTCGTAC